AGCAGATGTGAGATGAGGGAAGATGTGGAGAGGCAGAAGTTAGAAGACAAGTTAACAGTAAAGACGTATTGTGTCGAAATTAGTTAATCAAATGAGTTTAAATGTTAATAGAAATAATAAATTAATTAAGAACTAGTGGGGTTTTGGTGAATTATTCAAGCGAAACCCTACATATATCATGTGTAAGAATGAAAGAACTGTATTATGAAATACAAAAACTAAATATAAAGAAAGCAGTAGGTTATGACCTAATTAATAAAGGAACATTGAAACATCTACCAAAACGGGCGATTACAAAACTATTACACATAATTAATGCTGCTTTTAAACAGAAATACTTCCCAAGTATATGGAAAGTTGCTGAAATAATAATGATACCAAAACCTGGTAAACCGCCCACAGATGTTACATCATATAGGCTAATCTCATTATTACCCTTATTATCAAAACTACTTGAAAAATTATTATTAAAAAGACTAAAACCTGTCATAGAAGAAAAGCCCTAAAACCAACAAATCAATTTGGGTTTCGGAATAAACATGCAACAATAGACCAAATACATAGAATAACAAATACTATCGAAGTAGCAATGGAAGAAAATAAATTCTGCTCCGCCGTATTTTTGGATGTTGCACAAGCTTTCGGTTAGATGCTTTAAATTAGAAAGTAGACCAAATCTTTCTGATCGATATTTTAGAGTAAAATATGAAAACGCTTATTCACCACTACATGAAATACAAGCCGGAGTGTCACGAAAGTGTGCTTGGCCCAACACTGTACTTACTCTACATATTCGACCTTTCTCAGATACGAGAAACTTTAACAGCTACATTCGCAGATGACACAACGATCTTGGCTGTTGCAGAAAATGAAGTAGTTGTAGCAAATAAGATGCCAAACTCAAATGGAAAGCTCACGTCAACAAAAAAACGTGAGGAACTTGATATCAAATTTAGACACCTATATTGGTTTATTAGCAGAAAATCAACGTTATCAGTAAGAAAAAAGTTGCTAATATACATGCAATTATTAAAACTAAAATGGACATACAGAATTTAACTGTGGGGTTGTACCTGCAAGATAAATGCAAGTCTGATTTAAAGATTCCAAAACAAAGTACTAAGGTGTATAGTAAATGAACCTTGGTATACAGGCTGTCCCGTATCTTCCGCATCAGAGCATTCTACGGTTGTAGGATAGATTATTCTGAAGCGATCTTTCTAATAAAATTTTTCCGAAATGTTTATAATTGTCTCGGTGACTATGACTTGTCGCCGATATACCATGTCTAGGCTATGATGGGTCGGTGACTAAGACAAGTACCCAGGCTTCCTGAGAATCTGGATGAACTTCGACACCATCTAGAGGTTGCATGGAACGAGATACCCCAGGAGGACATCGACCATTTAATAGAGAACATGGGTAGAAGAGCTAATGCATGCATAGCTGCGCGCGGGGATGCAACCCATTACTAGCTTTTTCTTGAAAAATGTTAATTTTGGTTTTGTTTTTTTCAACTAAACTTTCATCGTTTCTTAGTTAATAAAGCATTATTTTACCGAAGTTTCAAAATTTTAGTCTAATTCTTAATAGGTGCTGTATTTCATGTGAAAGTGGGTGTAGTACGGCTTGAATTTTGTATTTTTCAAAATAAATTTTTAATTTGTTTTTTTAATTAACTTTTATTAACATTTTTAATTGTATGGGGATATCTGAGATAACTCGCCCCAGGGGCTTTATGGTGAGAGAGTTCTGACACTTCCCTTGTAAGTCGACACCACTGTTTTATTGCCATAGTGATAATATTTTTTGTACAAATCAAAAAAATTAATAGTAAATTCTCAAAAAATTCTTGAATAGTATAGAACGCGTTTTGGCAAAGGTGGTTCTTTACAGCATTCTTCAATCTTGTAAGGGTGTAATACCCCAATAGTTGGCATTGTTTTGGGTTTTAGACAAACGATGTGTGGGGATACGCAGTTCCTTTTTGTTTCTAGTTGATACCCAGTAAACAAATTTGCGTTTCAGAAACATTTCTGATACATATTATTGAAACATGAAACGTTCTTCGACATATTTCTGAAACATAGATGAAACGTGTCTGAAACTGCTAATGTCCGACCCTTTTTATGTTTTATTGAAACGTTTCTATTGAAACGTTTCTGCAACATACAGCTGACAATTACGGTACACTACTAAAATGTTTCATTAATGGTTTTGAATTATTTCTGTAATGTTTTGTTTACATTTACATTACATTAATAGTATGTATCATAAACATTTAAAAATAATTTCTGAAAGGTTTCGTTGACGTTTCAGGGATGTACATATGTATGTAAAGATATAATTTCGTTGAGGTGTAGCGTCTGCATCCTGGACAAGATGCTCATACATGCTTCCTCAAAAGATATGCATATGCTGAGGAAGCATTTCTGAGCATACCACCCAGGGCGCAGACGGTGGACGCTGCAACAAAATCATACCTTAAGGTAGGAAAAATAATAATAGAAGTACGATATGGTACGATACTTGTTACTTACCGCCTACTGTACCAAATTTCAAAATTATCAGTCAATAATTTCTACTATTCTGTTTTCTCATTGATTAGGACATATAAAGTAAGTATAAGAGTAGGTATGCATTAAATATATTTAGTAAATATGTATACAAAATATATTAAAATGGTAACTAAAATAAAATTCTTATTTGTAAACAAATTAAACATAAACATTCCAATAATTTATGTAGGTCATTTAAATATAAAGTTAAATTTAGATCATATTAGTGGTATTTTTAATTATTTTTACTTCTGTTTATATATGAATAACCGAAAGAATTTTTTTTTCTCAAACGAAACATTGTTTCAATTAAAACACATATATTTGTGATGTTTCGCCAGAGATCCCCAGCTTCTTCAGACTACAAGTAAAGAATACCTATAATATATTTAATAATAATAATTATAATAATATATTTAACATTTTTTTTATTTTACATTAGTTATTGGAGATATCACATGTTGTAAAATTCTTTTTATGGAGAGAAACTATCAGTATTACAAAATAACTTACAAAAACAGTTACATGACAATTTACATGTCAGATAATACAATAAAACAAGTAATGTACCACAAACGATGTACTACAGTCGTGGAATTGTTTATTTTTCTTGATAAAAAGAATTTTACAACATGTGGTCTCACTTATAACAATAAGACTTTTACAAAATAAATAGGTCTTCTTTACTTGTAGTCTGAAGAAGCTGGGGATCTCTTTCATCATCTTTTTATGATTGTTCAAGACTAAGAAATTTAACTAAAATTTAAATAACCTACATAAAACTAAAACATAAAAGTACAAAACTACATAAAATATACATATATGGAGAAATGGCAACACAAAATTTTTAAATTTGTTTCATATTTGAGATGCGATTCTTGCACTACGTTTTCCGTATTGCGACGAGTAAACGAAAGAAAGAATACTAAAAGAAAATAACAATATTCTTTATTATCTCATCTGCAGTTTCCTTATTTCGCCTATTATAACGTAAATTCGCTTGTCGTAACCAATTGCTTACTACCACTTCATATTCTTTATCAGTTAAATGGAAGCTCTTCCTAACTGCCACTAAAATGTATGTTTAAATTAGAATTCGGTCATGGAAAAAGTTTTAAACTCCTCCTTAACCAACGCGATTTATTCGCTGTAACGGCGATTGTTTCGCATGACGTTGTCGCCAGGTCAACACGGAGCCGCGGCAAATGAACATACCCAGACCGACGCGAAAGTATCGCTACACCCACGGTTTTTGTCGTTGTCACCTGACAGTTGAAAAAGTCGGTTTGGGCACGTTTGTGCATGTTCATTTGCCGCCGTGTCGACTTGGCGACAACATTATCAAGCGTAACAATCGCCGTCGCAGCGAATACATCGCGTTGGTTAAGGAATAACTTTATGTCAATATAATATTCTTCGGTTAAATTCAATCACAAGATTTAAGTCACCATTTTAAACAAGAATGTTTTTAGATAAATTTAAAAATAACTAAACCTAGTGGTGATATATAAAAAAACTTATACGAAACTTACCTGCGCCATTCTAAACCAATATTCGAGCCACAGAACAGATATATAGAAAACGATTCGAAGGAACTGAGAACAGAACTGAACAGAACAAAACACACAATAGAACAAGTCGTGACAAGACGCTGATGAGTCACCGCGTCCTGGAACATGCGCATACGTTCACAGGCGCTGATGAAGATATTCAGACATGTTTCAGACACATTTGTAGAGAAATGTTTCAAATGAAATGTTTCTGCTACATATTTTAATGATATTTCATAAATATTCCTACTGAAATGTATTTGATACATATCTTTAGATACGTTTCGTAACAATCGTATCTGTCACGTATATGAAACGTAGTTGTAAAATGTTTCATTTAATTCATTGTATGTTAAAATTGAAATGTTTCACAGATGTTTCTTGTTTACTGGGTAGTTATGGGAATGACAGTTTTTTGGCAGAAGGTATAATTTCTGGTGATCGTTCTTTATACAGTTGCATATATATAATGAAGGTAAGGTAAGTATTTTATACTGAGCAAAATAACTTCTACAACTTTCTCAGCTTCCCAGGTTGAACAATGCCCTTATCGCTCGTTTCTGAAGTGTAAATGTTCGTCTGCCGAAGAAGCTCCCCAGAAGAGGATACCGTAGGAGATCAAGCTATGGAAGTTGGCATAATAGATGAGTTTTGCAGCTTCTAAGGTACTAATACCACGAATTCTACGAATGCAGAAGATCGCGCCGTTAAGTTTCTTCGACAGATGTTCAATATGTATTGACCACTTTAGTTCTTCGTCAAGATGAACCCCAGAAACTTTACCGATCTAACATGCCGACTTCTTTGTGAAAAATAATACATTGAGTGTTATCCTCGTTTAGTAATAATCCATTGTGATGAAACCATTGTTTCACCTTACATATTGATTCATCTGCATTATTCTTCAAGTCTAAGTTCGTAGCACCTTCCGAAAGTATGGTGGTATCATCGGCATATAAACAAAGCCTCTTGTCAGGTACGTTGTAAGGGCCCATAATTGATCCATGGGGAATCCCAGTATGAACTTCGACTTCTCGTGACTTTCTCCCGGCGATTACCACAACTTGTTTTCTATACTACAGATAGGACTTTAGGATATCATATGCAATTCCGCGCACACCATAAAACGCCAACTTGTTTAGTAAGAGATCATGGTTTACATTATCGAATGCTCTTGACAGATACACACTCACTACACTGAGAAAAGTGATATGGAAAATTGAACCAAATCAATTTAGTTATTAGACAAATAGTCATTTATGCTAGAAAATTTATTCATTTACCTAACGTAATTTAGCTGACATATACAATTCTAATTAGTCAAATTTATGATAGTTAATTTATCTATATACTGAGGTGATATAACTAATTTTTAGAAAAAGAAACTACATCGTGGAAACTAGTTGATAAGTCTAGTTGTTGAGTAGCTTAGTTACCTAAAGTATTTGGTATTTTTGTTTATTTTGTTCTAGTCTGAATTTCTATATACATTTAACAATGAAATATTTTACCTAAATGGACAAATGTACTATTATTAAATTCTTTATTTAAATGTATTTTAATCGTTTTGTCTACCTGTTTTCATCGTTACATCGATCGTTTATAGAAAATATTTCTTAATACAAAAATTGCTTTTTCATCATCGAAAACGATCAATAAAGCATCTGTTTTTGAGGATTTGCTACCAAGTTACAGTTACAAACTTTCTTCATTATTACAGTTACAAACCTGTAAGACTGTACTCTTGTTTTGTTAGAGGGAAGTCCACTAATATTAATACATTTTGTGGTACTCTCAGTTGTCACAAGTCGTCATTAACGTGTTCAGGTATTCGGAGTGTTTTTACGATTTGGTAAGAAATAAAAATGGATGTGCAAGTTGAAGATACTGTAACTACTTTGTTACAGCAGTGGGAATTACACGTATTAATTCCAGATTTTCAAGGCAAGTATTTAACTATGTTTTCAATTATTTTGTTATATACAGTAGAGCGTCGATATTCCGGATTAATTGTGACCGGACCCTGTCCGTATTATCAAAATGTCCGGATTTTCGAAAAGAACCAAAAATAATCCACTTTTGTGGTTAAATAATTGATAAATAGATAAATAAAACCATTAATTAATATTAACTTATTATAATTTCTTTATATCATTATAAATTTCACAGAACGTGGGAAATCCCCGCGTTATATGGGGGAAAACACGTGTTATACAGAGACATGAAATTGCATAGTATGAAAACGCGTTATAAGAGTACCGTGTTAAATGGGGAATCACTGTACTTTGTCTTTTGTATGTACAATCAGAAAAAGAGAAATAAATTTTTTTTTTTCATCGGTATTGAATCCGGATTATCGACGGACCGAATTTTTGACGGCAGACATGTTACTTGTAGTTGTATAAGTGTTTTAAAGGCAGCTCTGTATATGGTATGTGTTATGTTACAGCCAAAGGAATAAACATCGACGTCCTTGCAGAACTTACTACCAACGATATTGATCATTTAATTCCTGCAGAACAATTCGGTCTACGAATTAAATTTAGAAAAAAACATTTTGTGTGGAAACAACTCAACATCAGTTGACAGCTATAATCTATAACTGCCATCATCATGCCACAATCCATAAGTTTATTTTCTTTAAATTCTTTTTATAAGGATTAACAACACCCCTGGCAAGTGCCATTACTGCATCGAATTCATCATCATCAACAGTAAATAATTGGATAAATGCTAATATAATAGATACAGATGAAAATGGTAATCCTGAAAATTAACCGATCTTTGTAAGTTATTTTATATTCCAGTTAATTTCCTAAATCATAGATGTATTTATTTCAGAAGTTAGAAAATCTTTTATTAAAATCGATTAGTGGTCAGTTAATTTTATCAGAATATAATGTTAGTGGATTAAGTTCGAAAAATCGAAATATCCTTACCACGATAATCGTGGAATATTGGTTAGCCAGTGACACATCTGTAGATCACCAATTGTGCCAAAATGTCGCAAAGGAAATAAAAAACTAAATAAACTATAGTTCCACAAATTACCTTTGATCAAGTGCCTTCAAAATATCTTGAATTGTATCATCTAATGCAGTATTTACGGATCTACCTTTGCGGTATCCATGTTGGTAGTTAGTGAACAGTTTGTTTTTCTCAAAGAAATTCGAGATTGTATCTGCAATCAAATATTCTAGTAGTTTTGAAATTGTAGGCAATATTGAGATAGGTCTGAAATTTTCTGGTTTGCTTATGTCCCCCTTTTTATATACAGGAACTATTTTAGCGACTTTTAATTCCTCAGGGAATATTCCATGTTTGAGACACATGTTAAAAATGTACACTAAATGAACACATAAGCTTGATATAGATTTATTTAAGAAGGCCATAGACATTCCATATATGTCCTCACTGCTTTTTGGTGCAAATTTCTTTACTATCGACATAATCTCTATAGTATCGGTGGGTCGTAGAAAACATGACGCCTTGGTTTGTATTGATAGAGTCTTCATATAGTTGTTTGCTAAATCAGAATTTACTTGATTTCCAATTGTTTGAATGTATTCATTAAACTCTTCAGGTGTAACATCAATTTTGCTCTTCGTTTTCTTGTCTACCTTTAATTCATTATTTATTCATCGCCATACCTTCTTTTGCTTTTTTGGTGCATTGTAGATCTCATTTTCGTTTTGCAATTGCTTTTCGCGTTTTATTTCGTTTCGTAATTCATTTTTATATTTATTATAAATTCTGTATGCCTCGTCTGTTTTTGTACATTGCACAAGAATACTTAAAATTTCTATGGTGTTTATTCTATCCTTTATTCTTGTTGGTAAATATTGGTTGGAACGCATACTAGATTGCAATGTAATTTCTCTTTTAGGACAACATTTGTTAAAGACGGATATCAAATGACTAAAGTAAAAAACGTTCGAAAACAGCATAGTAGGTGAGATCTAATCATTTTCGTTAAAGGAGTATCGAGATATTTCCATATTAAAACGGTAAGTGTTTTCATGATTCATGTTCCTACGTGTAATAACTTCGGCACAAACAGCTCTAATAATTGTGGATAATGGTCCGACAGATGAAGATTGGTCGTTTGTGAATAGTATTGATCTTTACTGCAATTTGTAATTATATTGTCAATACAAGAAGGAGATGTTGATGTTTCTCTCGAAGTTTCGAAAAATACACTGTGTAAATTAAAACTCTCAGAAATGTCTTGCAGTTGCACAACTTTATACTTTCCCATGGCTTGTACATTTATATTAAAATCCCCCGCAATAAATACTTTTTATCTCTAATTTCTTCTTCTATGCTACGTAACATATCTTGAAATCTGTCAGAAAATATTTCAAGATTCCCTCCAGTTGAACGGTGTATACTTATTAAAATTATTTAATGGGAGATTTAATGCATGAATTTATAATGGGAGACATTAATATCGATATTCACAAGTATAAGCGTTCACATGTAATTCCCACGCTTTATCTTCACGTGATTGCTTCTGCGGGTTTTGAATCCCATATCAATGATTATACTCGAGTGGTCAACAACAGTAAAAGTTGTTTAGACCACATTTTAGTAAAAACTTCTCTACCACACAAGAATTTGTTGTCGATTGTATCTCATTCAAAAATTACCGACCATAGTCCTGTTTTCTTGCAGATAAACTTTCCCAATGTTAAAAACAACACTATCCACAATAAGAACAAATGCTACCAAATGATAATTGATTATAATAAATTCATTAACAACATTGCTGCACAAAATTTCGCGAGTGTCCCTTCTGACATTGATGATGCCTTACAATTTATCAGTGACGTAATCAAAGATCAGCGGGATAAGGCAACTGTCAAGAGGGAAATTACATCTAAGAATAGGAAGCGTACTCCTTGGATAACGAACGGTGTGATAAGGTCTATTAACACAAGAGATATTCTTTATAAGCAATCAAAATTGGATCCCGGTAATGTCCAATTAAACAATACATACAAACAATATTGTGTGACAATTAAAAAGTTAATCACCACTCTAAAGCAAAGCTA